AACAACAGAAGTTGCAGTCTGAAGTTGATCGACAGAAATGTGAACGTATCAAATTGCAAAATATGGTCTTCGAATATCAAAAACTTGTGGATACCTTACCTATAAATGAACAATTACAACATATGATACAATTGCAACAACACCTTCGGACGTCAGGAAATATGATTGAAGAGATTACTGTTAATCGTAATCCGCCCGTTGAGCAACAGCAAAACTCTGTAGCGTCAACTAGCAATTCATATATATTACTAGACGATTCAACTACTTTACTAAATTTGCCTGACGATAGCCAAGAACAAACAGTCTCAAAACGAATAGGTAATCTGTTGTTAAAAATAAAAAATCAGCAAGAAGAAATGATTCTCAATGCTGTTTCTTCTGACCAAATTAAAYGTTGCCCAGAAGTAGTTTCCAATAATCTTGATGTTAATAACGCGGAACAAAATGATCTAAAAAACTGGCGTGATTTGTGGCCTGCATACGAAGGCAAGCTTGATAATGATGAATTGATGGATGAAGAACAAAGGTTATGTCGTACTCAAGAATTGATTGATCAATACTATTTCAGTAGTAATGACCAAAAATCAGTACATTCGTTAGATCAACAAAAACGGAGACTTGGACGGTATGGACAAGAACTTCTTGAAAAAGAGCCACCTGCGTATCAGCAACTACGAATGAAACAAACAATGCCATTAGAAACACCAGCAAGACCAAATATTACGGATCAACAAATACTAAAACCACAAAATCTACAGAATATTGAGCAACATTTGCCAGAACGACAAAAATGTCTGGACCAATATAAGCGACTTGAACGAATTGAGCAATTAGATAAAAAAAAACACTTATYAGGACATCGACAACAACAAATAAATGAACAAATTATTCAAAAATCACAAAACAACAAGCAAACTAATTCTGGCAATGAACTTACCCATATTCAGCAACAACGATCACAGTTATGTTTGAAAATCGCTAAATTTCAAATGTCACCAACGCTATGTTATGACGAGCAACTTCCACTGCGTGACCAATTGTTGCGTAGAATCATGAAAAAGAAAAACTTGCTAATAATCAACTTAAATCAGCAACAGCAGCATTCTAAACCCACAGCAGTGCCTGATACTAGAAATGCATCAAATGCAAATATAATGAAACTAACGAGTAGAGGATCGCGGTATTGGTGGTCGATCGTTGGTCTACAACGGCAAATATCACCATTAGTTAAGGGAAATGACCATCGAGATGATTTAGAACTAACGCCTATGTCAATGACGCCAATCAGCAATCTTCCACAGCTGACTAGACCGCAATTGGATGATAGATTTGCATCAGTTATAGACATTCGCTCGAAAAATGTTACGGTAAATGAAAGTAAGCTTAAAAAGTGGATGACGCCACATTTAATTAACATGATGACARATGATGAAGAGATTTGGGTGGATCAATTACAAACCAAGATATCACAGCTTGATCAACAAGTAGATCAACATTGGGAAGCCATGATAGATGGGCAGCAACAACAAGTGAAATTACTTGTGAATTATGATAAACGACTGCAATGGGAAAAAGAAAAGAAACGATTAGAACGTGAAAGACAGATACAGCAGCTAAAAAAACGAACACCGTTTCAAGCGTTGCCGGTACACCATCAGCAAACACACACATTACGTGGGGAAGGCCAAATGCAGCAACAACAATCAGAAATACCAATAATTGTAATCGATGATGATGATGAGGAAGAATTACTTAATGATACCACAGTCGTTGACACGAAACAGGAAACACATACTCATCCTGTATTCATTGATGATGATCTGCTGAAACATAAAATAGAAACAAAAGTATTCTATGAAGATCAGCATRAGGATATCAGTATTCAATGGAAAAAGTTGGAAGTTATGCGTAAAGCAAACCAAAAGCAATGGGAATTAAAAATTAAGAAATTATACTCTTATAAGGCAGCCAATCAAAAATTTTGGAGGGAAATGTTTGAACGTTTGATGAGCAAAATTAAGAATCCAAATTTAATTAAATCTTTAGAAGAACTCAACGGAGGGCCGTTTAGATATTCTGAACGAACAAAACTTCAGCTTCAAATGCTACTTTTGGAATCACAGCCCAATGAAAAACCTGGAATGTTTCATTGTAAACAAAAACCTTCACAAAAGCAAGCCGTGAAAAACCGCTCGCAGAAAACACCAACAGAACCGGATGAAACTTCAATGCTGATTAAGAAATCCAAAAAAACAATTAAACTAAAACGGTCAACACTTAAATTAGCTTTACAAAAACGCCCTCTATACAAACAAGGAGAACAAAAATATAAAAAAAATCTCCCACAACATTTAAACGACAGCACCAAAAGTCAACTAAAAAAATCCCACGAACACCAAGAAGCAGTCAATATTCGACAACTACGTAGTAAAAGAACCGTAGTTGTAAATGAACCATCACAAAAACGAACAAAACGATCAAATCACCAAAATCAAAGTAAACCACTATTACAAAAAAAGGCGATAGAACAGCAGGAACAATTTTCAACGAGGTGGTTCCAACATAATCAAATGTTAATGAAAATAAAAACTCCGGCTGTGACTTTAAGACACATTTTCCTGCTAAGAAACAGAATACTCCAAGTAAACTATAATCGTAATAAGCGACTACGGAAGCAAAATCAGCGATCGGTGCCCAAGCAAGATATTAACATTGATTCCACCGAAATGCAAACTCAGCAAAGCCGAAATAAAACCACCAAGTTGGTTCTTAAAAAAATGGCGTATACGCTGCATAATCAACGATCCTTGTTGCAGCGCCAACTGGATAGATTAAACGAAAACCACCCTAATAAAATTGATGAACAACTAGAACCACCAGTTTCAAAGACAATGATTATGTCTGTTCGACAACCTTTGATAACTTCGCTGATATTGCCACCACTGCAAACATCAACCATAAAACCAGAATCTTTGACTTCTACTGTTGTATTAAGTCCACAGCAACCTTTAACATCCATAGATCAATCCACGATGTCTTCTATAATGTTAAAGTCACAAATACCAATTCAACCTAATCAACCAATTTCGTCAAATTCAKCAAACCAACCATGTCAACAAAAGCAACAGGTTGAAAATAAACGCCAGATTTTAAAACAACAACTCAACATAGTACATAGTAGACTAAAACCACTGATGGAAATGTGGCGCCTTTCACTTCAGATGCCTGGAAGCTGGTTATGCCAACAATTGGATGATATTGAGCAGTTAAGACGGAAAGAGTTCTCAAATACACCCATGTTACAGTTAATGCTTTCGCAGGGCCAACAGCAAAAACAAGAAACACTTCAAAATAATGAAGTTTCAGTGATGATGGATTCAAACGCTATGACCCATTGTTCATTGCAACAGTTGCAACGGATTCGTGAACATCTGGATTGGCGACAACAACGATTACGTGATTTAATAGATGACTTGCTGATATTGATTTGYCCAGAACAACACCCAATGTTGTCTATGACATCTCAGCAATCTTCAAGTTGTTCCGTGCTAATCAAACTACAACAAAATTCGTCCATGGCGGAACAGATAAATTCAAAGTATTCAGCGCTATTGAACTTGCAAAGCCCTTCATCGTGGAAACATGTGCAACAACAATTTTTTACCTATTCATTGTTACTTAAGCTGAAACAACCAATGACTGCAAAACAGCAGTCATTGGTGTACTCAACAATATTAAAACTTCAACAACCACCAATGCCAAAACAATCTTCATGTCTTCCAATGACGAACACTACACTGCAACTTCAAACACCTAAACAGCAACAATCAATTAGTTTTGTTTCAGAAAACCTAATGGACAACTCAACATCCATTAATAACAAACCTTTACACATTCCTAATAACCAAATACAGGAAAAAAGACGGCTCAGTAGTGGAGATGAAACTGATGATGGTTGCAAAAGACTTAAATCGTCTAGCAAAAAAAGACCCATATCGCCTAATAATACCATAAGTAATAAGCGATCTGTGCCTTCTCTTACTAAAAATACTGGCATTGACAAAAGTCTCCCTATTATTGATCTTGTTGATTCTGATGATGATATCGAAATATTAGATTCTGATTCAAGCACTGAGTCATCGAATGAAGCTAGCTTTGGTGTGCAAGTTTCAGARAAATCCCCATTAACAATTAAATTTATTAAAAAAAAACCAATTCCATGTGCACAATCGGTAATACCAAATATTGAAAATAAATCGGAATTAAATGAATTGAATTCTGTAATAAAATTAAAAAAAAATATAAACAATATTGACTTGGACAAAGGTTTAGAAGAGACACATAATGAATATTCCAAGGAAGATAAAATGATGCAATTACAAGACAAAKGTGAAGATTTTAAAACATTAAAATCAAATGAGTTTGAAGATAATAAAACGCTAACCAATGAAGAAAAAAACAGTAAAGATGTTATAACTGGAACATCTGTGCACACGACTATTGTTAGTAGGCCCACTCAGATATCTGTCCTTGTCAACAGACCAAATGAGGCATCGGCAATTAACAAACCATTCGATAGCAACAATCAAATATTTAAGGTAGCAGTTGTTGAATGCTCATCATCAATGATTTCGAATGTTGGCAGCAACTGTATAAATGTGGTGCCTGAAGGTAGAGATACAATAAAAATAATGGGTGGTGTTATTAACCCAACATTCGTAAATAGTGCTGATAGGACAATATCAGTCATTAGTAAATTAACAGAGGCAGCAGTGAGTGTCATCAGAAAAACACCAGCTGCAGTGCACCAACATCATAAGCCTGCAGATGATCCAATACTTACGCCGATGAACACACCTATTTCAAATTTGAAAATGACAAAGTCAATGGAAAAACCCCAGAGTAGCAACAACGGAACTGAAGGTACCATCGAAAGTATAAAAAAAAATAGAATTGTTACGACAAACGAMCACTGTCGAACTGGCACATTTTCAAAAACTGCGCGGCGATATCGACGCTTAAATCGTACCAGATGGTTAGAAACTCGTGGACCAGCTGTTCCTACGTTCCAAGACCATGGATTTCCTGAAGGTACTATTGAACAAGTAGTTCATGGACGGTTCGTGACCACTATAATGACTATGTCGTCTGCACACACTATTGCGTCATATATACCTCCACCGATTCCACGGATACCGTTTGACTATGCTTCTATGTATCAACCTAGTAGAAATATGGCGTCTACGGCCATGGCTAATAGTAATAGAAACGTAGACAAAACCAATCAAAATCAAAATATCAAAACAGCCAACACATCAGTAACACCACTATCCACCATGATGAGTTGGATAGAGAAAACTGCAGCGATCTCCTCAAACATTGCATGTGGTAATGGTCATCTTTGGAAAGGTTGCGCACGGGCATCAGGCCCTACCCTAATGACTTTAAGCAAGGTAACCAAAGAAGCTATATCACGAAATACTGCTATCCGATCACGCGATATTCCTTCGTCTCATTTGACGAACATACCAGCTAGATTGTCGAGGTCCTCCACAAAGGAGCCCACGCCATTAGTTGCAAATTCGACAAAACGATCCGTGTCAGAAACAGTACCTACTTCGCCTTTCTCTAATAGTAACGGAAAACAACAAACAATCACCAAAAGATCTACTTCGCTAACTTTATTTCCATCTGCAGACGAGCTTCATGATAGATCCAAGTCAGCTTTAGTGATTCCTAGTGTCAGTAGAAAAGAACAATCTAATTCTGTAATACAACCCACCAAAAGATCAGCATCAGAAGCATTTTCATCTGTACCGCTCACAACGTCTAAAATAATGACAGGCATTTCCGTTCCAGCCTTGGAAACAAAAATATCTACATCAAAAAAAATGATCCAACCGCAAAAGAGATCTAAATCAGCAGTTACAACTACCAATACCTCTATTATCGACGTATCATCGACTTTAACGAAACCTAGTCAACGTGAAGAATGTCTATGGCCACTCAAACGATCTGCATCAGTAGCGGAATATGTTTCTCCCTCCATAACTAGTAAAATTTCGGGCTTGTCAYTTCCAGCTGTCGAATCGCACAAGAGATCTATGTCAGCCGCAGTTATTACTCCTGTAGTAGGGGCAGCCGCTGCATCAAACAATAATTTCATACAATCAAAACCGATAAAAAAGTATGCGTCAAATTCAATCATCCAACCTGAACTAACATTGCCTAACGCCACTATACCTGAATTGAACATTTTAAAAACATTGCCTTCCGCAGCAATGTTGACGGCAACACCGAATGATGCAAAAAATAATGTATTTACCAATTCGGCTATTGAAACCAGTGATGAAAGCGACACAGCCTATGAGAAAACGACAACGATCACAGATGAAGAGCAGCGCACTGTAACTGTAACTCGAACTATTTGTCCTACTATTCCGGCACCTATGGACGTAACAGCTGATGCATGCTCACTTGTGAAGGCCGCGTGTGAACAATTCATTAAATCAATGGTGATGGAACTGCGTTTAAAGACGGGTCGTGGTTCCGGAATGCTTGAACTGCGCCGCCGAGACGCATTCGCTGCCGCCGTAGCAGTTGACGACGAAATTCGACCATTTCCTGATTATTGTCGGACGCCGGCTATTGGAACAACCATTGTTAATCCATCGACATTAGCACACACACAAAGAGAAATTAATGTTGTAGAAAAGGAGCCTGCATCGGAACAGATATCCATCACCACCGATAATAAATTTGATAAAAAATTCATCGTTATGACAACAGACAAACCGGACCACGAAAACGAACATCGGGTTGTATTAAAACAACAGTCAATTATCGCTGACAGTAAATCGAATAATAAGTTGTCCKTACTGACGGTTAAGACGGTAATTGAAACACAGACCACTTCTTCCACGACGACTACCATCAACAAACTGCATTGTCCGACAACTATTACTACTGATTCAACTACAAAAACGAAGTCATCGAGGTCAGTGATCGAAGGGACTTCAGCCAGGACGAGAGGAACGGTATTATTRAAGAAATCAAGAAATTCAGCGTCTACTTCGGAGTCTACGATTCCATCATCCAGCGAGCAACAGACAACTGGTGATCGGTTATCCGTGAAGCAAGTAGGCGCCGGAAAGCGGTCGATGAGCCCTCCGCCAGTTATTGCACCTCAAACAACAGTGAAACCTCCATCCATGGTCGGCGAAGCCACCAAGACGCTTCCCGATGCCACGTTGACGTTCAATACTTCCAAGTCGACTCGCAGATTTTTTGTAGATCGCAGTAGATCACTGTGGCAACCCACTTTCAATCGGCGACAGCCGTTTGACACGCTAGTAGACACTGCGATAGCCGCGAATTCAACTTCCTCTAACAACACGTTCTTTTCAGACGACTGTAGCCAAGATGTAGACAAACATTTAATCGATACCTGGGGCTGTTATTTCAGCAATCAGAAAATGTTACCGCCCTTAAGCAGGTTGAACAATTTCTTGAATTTCGCTGACAAACTGGAAATGCCATCGTCCGAATACCACGATGGAGGAGATACCGGTGATGGTGACCACGATACGGTCCACCAAGCGTCGTCAAATGCATCGACGAAATTACCGGGCGGCATCAAGAAGCTATACGACAACAACGCTCAAGAGAAAATTTCATTTTTAAATRATATACAGCAACTGAATACCATGCAGGCTTATCAGAAACAATATATAATGGAGTTGGAGGAAGAGATGAATCGGCGGGTTCAAGAGCACCAAAGCCGAGAACCCGACTCCCAAAAAGTATACTATCAAAAGTTCTTGAAACTACAGTTCGGTTCAACAAACAAGCCACCGGAGCATTCAATGTTGCGGTTCTCTCCGAATGACCACAATAGCTTGATAAATTGGTAAAATCGGCTTGCTCACAAAACTTTACATTGTAAAATCATTCCATCGTGTTCTGTATTTTACGCAAGTGATATAACAGAATTCTTTCTTTAAAAAAAAAAAATGTATGTAAAATAGAGTTTTGGTATTTACTTATTTCTTTGTACATCGAAGTTATTACTATAATAATAATTTTTTTTTTAAACTATTGATAAAACTATGTTCAGCATTTAATTTAAAAACCACTTGTATTACAATTTTTATTTTTAGGTTGTTATGGATTTGAATTTTATTTTATTTTTATACATTTTAAAAAAACTCATTGTTTTCGAATTTTTTT